CAAAAGCCTTCGGCGTTGATAAGAGATTCCGAAGGAAGACCAAGTTGCGGACTGCCATCTACACGCTCGACTGGCGTCGGCAGATTTTGGGCAATGACCAACCATTTGTTAAGACTCCAAGAAGTGTGTTGTGGGGTACCTGTCAACAACATTCAGCCACAGGAGCAGCATGATCTAGCACTGCTTCCACTCAACTCACCTCCCTTTCGCCCACCGGCCTCCGGAGTCTTCGGCTTTTGGTTTCTTCCAGCCAGACAAAAGTCGTAAGTCCTTGCAGGGCGTCCAAGTCTAAACGCAAGGCTGGCTCCGAAGATCATACTCTCCACGAGGAATGAAACCGAAAGAAACATCCTGATTTTATAGTGATCGGCACATAGTGGGTACAGAATGATGCTTGGATGTCCTGGTTCGAAAGCCAGATACAGAGGGCCCCCTCAATTGTCCTTTTTTTCTGACCTCCACTTTGGTGCATTTTGCTTGGATGTTAGGACTTTAACTTTTTGCAAATTAATGGGTTTTCCATCAAACCACTAAAAGTTAAACTTTTAGCAGGGGAGCAGAAGGCAACCGAGTCCAATCGGCAATTTTGCTTTCCACTCACCCGCCATCTGCAACCAAGGGAGAATTCCAGTGACCCCTGCCACGTCGTTGTTGAGCGGTTGCCTAAGTTACTCGAGTCGCTGGCTGGGTTCTTGCGCAGGGTCCCGTGGCTTTGGACGTCGCCACTTTTGGAAGGAGGGAGGGAGACCAAGAAGCCTAAGGCCTTATTTGGCCGTGGGTAGGGCACCACCCATTCTTAGTCTATTTTAGTGGGGATTGGGATGTTCACTAAGGGTACGGGGTTTTGACCCATGGCCATTTTGTTTGGGCCCTTCCCCTCCCCCGTTTCCAGGTGCCATGACTTTCTTTCTGGTGGAAGGGACTCCCCTTGGAAGCGACGAGGTAGTTCTGGGAGACTCAGCCGCGGCAGTATCCCGGACATGGGCCGAAGCAGTTTTGTGCCTATCGAACCAGCGGACATGTTTTTGCATAGGAAGCTTTGTTGTCAATTTGGTTCCCGCCTTTCAGCTAGAGGGGAGGATCCTTTCCGGTGTTTGGAATGATTCTGGCGGGAAACCTTTGTTTGGGTGCCTGGTCAACCCACGGGAGTGAGTGGGGGGGGGGTCTTTTTGACGCCACGCACACGCGACTTGAAGTGTGGCACTGTCGGACATGGGAGCAAGAGAGACAAGGAGGGGGGAGCTGGCAAACGGTTTCCAGTAGCAGCCAACAACGTCTCGCATGCTTCCGATTTGCGCAGCGCAAGTCTGTAATGGTTACTTCGGATCAATAAACTTGTGGTTGCTTTTGATGTGGGTGTGTCCCCTTCTAGTGAGAGTGCGTCACTTTTTGCTGGTTTTTCCGCATTGGCTATCTTCAATCCCAGTGCTCCAGCCATGCACGAGAGGGTCACCACTTGGGTGTTCGATTCGCCAAGCGATTCGCCAAGTTAGTAGTTGTCGGCAACCGAGGTTATAACCCACTTCTAAGTCCCCTTTAGAAGTGCGGATATCCTTGTTAGGAGGTGGACAAAAGCCCAAGTGGCGATCACCACACTAACTTGGCGAATCGAACATCCAAGGAGGTAGTTGTACCAGATGCCACCAACCACATGAAGCTTCCTTGACCCTTCAGCTTGGGTAGATGGCCTATGCATCCTACGTGGTTTCTTGCGATTTCCCACATTGATCCTTAGAAAGCACTGGTGCGTTCAAAGCAATGTCACGTATCCCTGCGAGCCCCTTAAACCCCAAATGTAAGGGCCTTGACCCCAAAAACAAGCCTCACATAATGAGGTCTTGGAGCTCCTAGGCATAGGGGAATTGGTAGGGTATACCTAGGGGATTTGGTCCACCAACAAGAAATGGAGGGCCCACAAGAACTGCATAGCGCTCGCAGGGTATACTGGCAACTGGCAGCACTACTTAGAAGTCTGGGAGGAGTCGCTAAACAATGAAGATTCCTGGTTATGCGGCACTTGCAACCATGGAAACTGGGTTACAACTAGGGCAAAGCTACCCACGCGATTCGTCCCACGCGATTCGTCCCAGGCCGAAGTAGGATTTGCCTTCGGAAGCAATGCAACTGCAATGCAACGCAGGCCTTCCGAGAGCCTCTGGCGAAGCCGCAGGCTTCGACTCCGGTCACTCGTTACATGGGGATGGTTACTGGTTTGGTGGGTGCTGGTTTGGTTCGTGCTTGGGCTGGCGGCTTAATTGGTGGCTCTTGGTCGAGTTCTTGTGTTTCGAAGGAAGGGGGTGCTGGTGTTTCTGGTTTGTCATTGGTGGTTGTTGGTTTGGGTTTGCAATTGGTGTCGTGGATTTCACCTGGTGTTTGTTGGGTTGCTCAGGGTTTCCAGTCCCCAACGAGTGGCCAACTACTACCGCCATGTTGAGAAGCAATGAGAACGACGTTTGTAGTAGGACGAAGCATGCTCCTAATAGTAGCCCCCCATCCGCTTCAAGAAGATGCACACGGAGAAGAATGCCGTTAAGCCCACACGTAAAACCGCCACACTTGACATGGCACGCAAAGTTTCTTGTGACACCACGTGCTTGTGTGGGGTTGCCACCAGATTGACTGGCACACACTACTCTTGAATATTCCTACTATTCACAGGGTATGGTCGGCTCCTACGAAGCCACATCCCCATCCAAGAAAAGAGGACGTTTGAGTCTCCTTTTTGTGCCGACCCATGAGCCGCGTTTCGAGGCAGCTGTCCGTAAACGGGTCCACGAGTCGCCAGGAGTCTTCAGTTGCAAATCGCGACCGCGAGAGGATGTTGGAGGAGACGGGCAGATCGAGCCCTCGCAGGGAGCCGGGGGGTTGTTTCTTTTTCGAGTGTACCTGGAGTCTCCATGACGCTTAAAAAATGGGGTCACTACACAAAATAATGAGGTCATTGACCCATTTTTGAAGGGTCATGGGGAATGTGCTTAGTTCGAACAAGCTGACGTAGTCTCGGCATGTCACTGTAGATATGTGAATCTTACCACATCCCGCCAAGCTGTGGCAAGTGTCCGGCTCAGCTACAATCGCAATACTGGGTGCGTCTCCTTTTTGGCACTCCCCGAAAAGACAGAAATAGAAGAAAGAGGAAGAAGGAACGCAGGTTTTCCTTTTAGTGTTCCTTCCAAACAACGAAAACGGTCAAGAAAGCACGCCCGTGTTTATTCCATCAGGGAAACCATTTCGGGGGGCCCCCTGTCACTGCGCCGAACTGCGGGGCACGGCATTCCAACCATATCCGAAGAGAACACTTCTCAGGTGGAAACGGCTGCGAGGAAGGATGCTTGAAAAGACTGCGAGCGTAACCCCTAGAGGTGTTCCTGATTTTGCCCAACCCAGTGCTTCCAGTTACCACTATAGTAGGTGACCAGTCAATTTTGCCTCTAGGTTTTATTTCATGTTTGTTTTTCTTCTTTTTGTTTTTCTGGGTACTTACCTGAAAGTACTGGGCAAGTTCACTTGTTCAAGCACCAGATGTATCTCTGTGAAAAGTGGTCACCAAGACAGCCCAACGGGCCTCACTGAACAAACAGTCATAGCTGTTGGGGTGTCCTGGTAGAGAAAAGGCACAAATTTATGCATAGTACAAACCAGAGTGGAAGTTGGGGACAGCTCGACCCCATGATTTTTTATCTCTGAAAAGTCCTTTACCCCGCAATGGTGAAAACATGACCCCAAGAGTTCATGACGTTCTCGCGGAGCGAGGGGGCACCCCCACCTCTCCACAAGGCATCGGGGATGGGCTCCAGGGTGGCGACCAAAGAATAAATGGCGGTGGTTGTCAAAACCGTTTTGGGATCCCATTTTGGTTGGTAGGTGCATTCACCACCCGTTTTAGAACCGGTGGCAATGGTACCATTTTGGTTGGGATTTGTGAATTCACCACCCGTTTTAGAACCTATTTTAGTGGTTGGATTGGGATGTTCACTCCATTTAATTTTGGGGTAGGTGAATTCACCACCCGTTTTAGAACCTATTGTAGTTGGGAGTTTTTGATGTTCACGGGTACGAGTTGGATTTTGAGCCATGGCCAAATGGTCAGAACACATCGTCAGACTCAAAAGGTGTCCTCGACTGACTTCGCCACACTGCCATGCGTGAAATCCTTCTACTTGCTGATCATGATGTGGGGGTTGATCAATGTTCCATTTACGGCACCCAGTTTTCACCATGGGTAGCTTTCCCCATTAAGTGGGGAACATCATTTTTTGGTGGTTTCCCTAATGGTCACTCAATGTAAAAGAAGCTCAAAACTGTTGCTGCCCATAGTAACTGGCTCCCGTAGCAAAACCTGGTCCCCAAGCATAACCCCCAGCCACTGCTTGTTTGGACAGTACTTGGGATTTTGGACATGGGAAAGAGCAGTTGTTGGAGGGGTGCTGGAACGACCCTTAGCGTGGGGTAGTGGGTCTTGGAAGTAGGGGGAATATTTTTGCTTGGCCCAGCCTTGACCGAGGCTTAACCGTTTGGTTCGTCTGAGAAATGGTCGGCTTCTAGTTTTCTCTTTATTTCCGCTTTTGGCGGTTTGGAACAAGTGATGTTCTCTTGGCGTAAGTGACAAACCAGCGGGTTTGGGCTTCATTTCCCGGTGATTGAGGCCGAAAGCTGGTAGGAAAATATTGCCAACAGGGTTACATGGGCAAATCACCGCAAGATCTTCAACTCTTTTCTGGTGAGCGATTCCACTGTGCTGCAGTTATTGGATCCAATTCTTATATTGGAGTCCTGCGGATTCTTCGCAAGCCGCTGGAAAAGGGTGAAAGTAAGCTAATGCCCCGGGAGAATGTTTAGGCATGTACCCTCCCACTGGTGCTATGTTAGTGAGAGGAAGGCTGCAGTCCATAGGCAAACAAGCGAACTCCTGGCGATTTGCCTCCAAGCAAATCGTCGATGCAAGGGAGAAGCAGTGTGTTGAGTGTGTTGGTTGATGATTTCTATATGATTCCTATGCAGCCATTTGAGCGCGAGTGCAACTCGCACTGAATCCTGCAAACGACCCGATACTAGATATCGTACTACATACTAGATGCCGGAGCCTCAGTGGGATGTAGGGTTGGTTGAGGGTTGGCTTGAGCCCCAAAATGACCAGTAACTGTTCCCAGTTAGTGGTGCCAGTCATTTGTTTGGTGGTTTCTTGATTATTACCCCTCGTCAAGGATCTTTTGATCAACCCCCCAACATTGCATGTCAGGGCTGTACCTAGTGTTTTCTCTTTTCCTGAACCCTCAAAATTCCCTTAAAAATTGGTTTGACCCCCAAACTTATGGGGTGATATCGCATTTTTATGGGTAATTAGTTTGAGGGTCCAGGTTGAAACATGGACCTCACATGCGGATGTACCTCAACGCTGTGCGAAGAGGGCGAGAAGGACCCGGCCCCAAACTTGCCATGGGCAGGGGGACAACCGCATTTCTCGGAATCCTTTGCGGGGGAACACGTACTTTCGATTGTCTATTTGGTTGGACGGATTTTTCCATTGGACCCATTCAAAGCGTTGATCTTTGCGGAGGTGTCAACCGCAAACGAATTGTGCATTGGTAATGTGAAGTCCAAGTGTGCAAATAATTTATGCAATAGTTCTGGACAGTCTGCTAAAATGTTGCGGAACACGTGTGAATAGCCCACATTTACTCACAAGGGGGAATAGATGGCTCCCTGAAGCTTACCGGCATCTTACTATGCGCTGCTAAATATCTCTATTTTCAAGCAAAGGACGTCCCAAAGTATCCCCAAAAGGGCTGGCTGATTGTTTTATGTGTCTACACCCGCTTGTTTCATCAGCCTGTTGAGAGGAGGTGTGTCTTGAAAAAGGGCTTTCCCCAAACTTGCCTGGTTTCCTCATCTGGGTTACTGGCATGTTCGGCCACAGTAGTGAGACCTACCTAGCCGGAGAACTTTTGTGGAATGTAACCCAGACAATCCAGCCACTTACAAGTTGGCTGAGCATCCAAGCCAGTTGCGTGTGGAGTTGTTTCAACAGAGTTCCAAGATGGCAAGATGGGTACCCCTAGAATTAAGAATCACACTTTTCTGGGGAGTCAAAAACTCGGCTGCTGCAGGTCCGGGTGGTCCGGATGGTCCAGCATTGACCCCGGGCTCTACATATTGAAGCGCTTTTGCACTGAGCAGGTCGAGACGCGCCTCGGACGGCGCAATTTGATGAATTTTTCGTATGGATATTCGCCGCGCGGAGAGCAGGATTTACAGAACGCATTGGTTATCCTGGAGTGTCCTTCTGACCCTTGAAACATTCGTGACTGGTGTAGACTTAGAATACACTTCACATGTTACCAGCGACTCAGAGTGAAGCAAACAATACAATATACATTCTACAACTGGGCCTAACTCTAATCATGGCGACCCCCTTATTTTGGGTAATGCCCAATCTTTTTTATATGTGTCATGGAGACTCCAGGATCACACAAAATGCCGGTATGCAAAACTCCAACCCCAAGAAGCCGCACTCCGGCAGTGGGGTTCTCGGAATAGGGTTGGACTGGTTCGTCTTCAAGCCCTGCAGCCCAAGAAGCGAACTCATGCCGGGGAAGCCCATGAGGCAGGCCACGCCCGAACCAAAAAGGTGAATATGGGTGTCGGTGCCGTGCGTGGGTTTGGTTTGAAGGGAAACCAAAGGGAGAAACGCTTCGTTTTTTCGGCTCCCCTAGAACAAGACACACCCATATGTTGATTTGGTCCTCGGATTTGACTCTTCGTTGAGTTGTTTGTTTGTCCTTTCGCCGCTCGAAGGGCTTGGTTGAGTTCCTGAGCTACTTTTAGGTACGAGTCTATTTTGGGGACTTGGATGTGGGTGGGTTTTCCTCTTGGTTACCTGCCAACCTTTTGCACTGGTGGCTTGCTAGGATGCCTTGGCAGTCTTTACCTCTTCCAGGTTCCCTGGTTCGCTCCTGGTCTTTGAAGAAGTGAATGGGGATGGCTAAACCCAAATGGCACCATTCTGCCATCTACTAGTAACTTGTCTGACTATCTCTTTGGTCTTTTCTCAAAGGAACCCCCTAGAACTCATCCCTCAATTGGTCATTGTCCCACCGAACTTCTCATTCTCTTGTTTTGGCCCCTTTTTGACCAGCGAGGTCGGATCTGGACCAGTTAAGTCAGCTGTGGAACCCACTCGCATCGTGCGGCCGCTACGCAACTGCTATTGGGTTGGATCTTTAGACTTTAACTTTTTGGGAAATCAAGGGTCTTTTTCCACTAAACCCCCAAACAGTTATTCACTTTTTGCAGGGGGGTCAACAGCAACCAAGGCTAATTTGTTTCGAGTCTTCGCACCATTTCGATCGTCTCTCCCCAAGGATTATGGAGAGACAGCCTTTGCTTCAGGCGGGGCGGCCACTGAGGAGTTGACTAGCCCGCTTAGGTGCCCTTTCTCACCCCTTATTTGGTTGGCAGGGTGCCCCTACTAAAATAGACAACAGAAAAAAAGCTGGTACC